TTCTAGACATGATGAATATTTTGTTAGATTTCTTCATTTGTTAAAATTACCCATGCATCCAAATTAATCTTAGCAGTTTTTAATTTGTTTATAATTTCTGGAATTTTGATTTTCATATTAAATAATAGTAATGGTGTTATTCTTCTCCCCCCCTTGCATATTTGTATTATTAGAAGACCCTAGTAGATAGTCTTCTATGCCTTGGTAGAAGGATTTCCATGCTTTTCAAAAGAAAAGCCAATAGAGTGTTTGATACAGAATTCTCAGGGCCAAATGCTGCAACACATGCTTGAGCTGGAGCTCCATTGATTTCACTGAGAGATTGGCACACGTCAGAATTGCAAGATGGGGCCTAAATGGGCATGCTACACTTCCTTCTTACTGCATCTGGGACCTCTGCTGAGAAGCCACCCACACAGACCAGCTCAGCATGTACCACATCCCACATATTAGACTGCCTAAGAACAGCCCTGAGCACCCACCAGGAACTAAACCACAGAGACACCACCTGAAAGTGTCTCAGAAGTGTTCAGCAAGGCCCTGCTAAGGTGCCTACACAACCTCATTTCTAGGATTTGGTGAGTGCTGAATAGGAGCAAGAAGATGAACCGTGCATCTCAGCAGTGGTCCTGGGCATGGCACAGGGTCCTATAAACATATCTTAATTCGTTGCATCTTTGGGCTCAGATTGCAAGGGGGATTCCAGGTGCAGCTTTCCTCTTGCAAATTTTGCAATGGTATGGTTTAACACCTTCAATAAATTGCTGGTGTAGGTCTTACTTTTTAGAAGCTGAATTCCCAATTGTCCGTGCAAATCCAATTATTTAGATGTCAGTATGTTAGGTTTTGTGACTAAGGTTAATTGCTGCCAGAAATTTTTAGGAACAGTTTTTGCAGATTTCATTTTTCATGCAACGAGAAACCAGGCTTTAATTTTAGGCCTTAATTTTAGACTGCAAGAAGTGGACAAAGGTTATTATAAGTGAAAATGGGTTAATGAAATGACTGTTATGAAAAGTGCTGCATTATGTGGAGAAGCAGTTTAAAAAGTTGCAGTAATGAACATAAGGGCCAGAATTCTGTTACTCTTTTGAGCCTACATGGCAGTTTTTCAGCCTCATAAGTAAATCTTTGGGATTTCTTCATACATTGAAGTTCTGTTGCTCCTGTTACCTGTGCAAGGTAGACATGTAGACCCTGTGCATACTGAGTGTGCGCAGTAGGCTACACTCCGTTTGTGAGCTACACAACTATATACAGGTTTCCCTCGCTTTATGCGGGTTCTGTATGTGCGAATTCGCTCTTATGTGATGACCCTTTTTAACCCAAAAATTCATTATATGCAAGGTAAATTCACTCTTATGTGGTTGGTGTGGTGGAAGCCTGCAGTCAGCTGCTTTGTGCGGTGCATGGTGGGAGTGATGCACACCAAAATATAGTCTCCTGCATGCATCTGTGCTCTTTGCTCGTTGTCTGAGACGCATGTTTCTGCCAGGGAGTGGAGAGGCTTCCCCATTTTTAGCACCAATATCTGAGTGGTTAGGGCTGTCACCCAGGAATTGGGAAGTCTGAGATTTAGGCCCTTTCACCCAGTGGAGGTTTGAACTGATTATCATTTTGATTTTCCAGCACAGTGCTCAAATTCCACACTCACAATAGGGTAGGCATTATCCAGGGCTCTCTCTAGCTGTCCTTTGGAAGCAGGACCCCAGGAGAGCCAAGAGAGGGAGGTATGTGGAGACAGGAGGAAGAGAGCATGCTAGAAAACATGGGTGACTAGTGCCTCCCAAGTCTGGGGGGGGCACTAGATCACCAACGGGGGGGTCCCCCAGTGGCCGATCGCTAAACCAGCCGTGGAACCGTAAGTGCACTTCCAGTTTCACGGCTGGCACTTCCAGGGGGTGCAGGTGCACCCATGTGCACCTTTGTTTGTCGCCAATGCTAGAAAACACGTTGGCTTAGTGAAATGGCTGCTGCTCTGAAAAGCTCTGCCCCTAGAGGAGCAGAAACTTCCCCTCAGCTCTCCATCCATTGTATCCAGTCACTATTAAATGCATGGTGAAATGATTCTGCTTCAAATCAGCCGCTGGGAAACAGACTGAGGAATGCCTAACCTGTGGCCAGCTGTTTAGAGCACTGTGCTGGGAAGTTGCAGAGATGCCGGTTCAAAACGCTCTGTAACCTAGGTCTCCTATTTCCTGTGTGAATGCCCTGATCACTTAGCTACTGAGGCTAAACCATGGGAGGGTAGTTGAACTTCCCTCATGTAAGTCAGAACTTATGCTCATGTAAGTGTGTATGTGGCCGTGTTACTTCCTGGCCAATGCATAGTTTACTCCATATGCTTGGAATGCATGCATACATTTATTTACAGGTGCACTCTGCATGGAGCATACAACTGCAAGCTGTGTGTAGGGGTCAACAAATATTACTTAATCAGCTGGGTAAATGGCATTAAGGCACAAAAAGGATAATAGCATTCCATCCCTAAGGATTAACTCCGAAGATTTCAAGAATATTTTTACTCAAATACCCCTCTCTCCCAAAGTCTCCAAACCTTTTGGGGCTAAGTTGTGATATAGATATGGATGCTAAATTCTTGAGCATTCTTGATGAGGGTAAGTATTAGCTTACCTTGCATCTTCAGGATAATGTACCAGAATAGCCTGTTCTTAAGGCTACTTCATTTGTGGAAATCTCCTTATCAGCATCTGTTCTGTGTGTGGTATTTATACAACAGAGTTTAAATACTCAAGTCAGAGTGAGAGGTGTAAAAGAATATTAGGTACTTTACACCTACAAACAAGTTATTTTAAAGAATTTCATTCTGAGCTGGTGTTCAGTGAATAAGACTTTGGAAAAATAAGATCCATGTAAATCCCAGACACAATGGATCCTTTGCAGGACTGATAAACTCTATTAGAATTTTTATCATTAAAACTGTTTGCCGTGCTGAAATGCTCTTGATCAGACAGCTGATTTCCCCACAGTACAGTGTGTGTGCTGAGAAATCAGGATAGTGTGGGTGTATTTTACATTAATAATGGGAGGACCCTCTTAGTCACTTTTTGGCTAAAATATCCTATTGGCACTTTTCCGTTATGTGCTTCAGGAAGGCTCTGCCCCTTTCTGACCAGCAACAATCATATCCTAATCCTTTTCCAGGAAAAGTAAGTGTGTCTAGGATCCTTTTACACTGACGATTAAATCCAGGCTGGTGATGTTTAGGGTGCTTTGGTACTTCTGTCTGTTTTATAATTTACACCCAATGTGTTTTACACCTTTTACTTTACCAATCCTTTTAACTCCAGGAATGGTAGATTTGTTTTTTTTTAACATTTTATCCTCTGTTTTCTTTTTATTAACTTTTCTTTCTCTAGTTTGTTCAGAATGCCTAAATGTGCAGTAAATGCTAATGATAGGTGGGTGTGTGTAGATATATGTACATATATGTGTTGGTAGATATATGTGTGAATGGGCGGATCTAGATTTATGAAAAGGGGGATGTATAGGGGGGCACGCTACCACCTATATCACAATACATATTTTCTCCAGTGAACAAGAGACTAGATGCTTTATGATTATGCAAGGGGACCAGCACTCTATTATTTAGTTTAAGATCAAAGCAAAAACAAATATAACTTTAGAAACGTGCACTAATTTACTAGATTAAAGATAAAGTGTAAAATGACACGACAAACTGGGCAGAAAATAGTCAAAATAATCAAAAGATTGCATCATTACTTTAGTAGCCATTACGGTTAAATCTGTCTCTCTTATTCAGATTCATAAAAAAAATCTAGCCTACTTGAGTGCCTTGACTGTGCCTCCCATACTTCACTGTCAGTCATTTCTGCACCCAAGTTAATATTACTATACCTGAGTTAGCTAAAGCAAAAAACAGTCTGCAGGGCTGTGATATAGAGAGACATTATGAGGAATGGCTAAGAAACAGCAACATTGCAAAGAAAAGATAGTTTGAACAGTGGAACATCAAGACTGTTACAAAGGATAGTGGGTCATTAACACCTGTGGAGTGGAAAAAGATTTAACAGGAATCGAGATGATAATGAGAATATGAAGTCAGTTGACTACCTCAGTTAAGATAGAGCTGTTTAGAAATGCTACTGTCTCTTCCAAGAAGTTGGTTTTAAAGTTTTGGTTGGGCAGTTAAAGGCAGTGAATTTGGATCCACCCCACCATGTCTGTATACAAATTGAGAGTGCACATCTGTATGAATAATCTAGGCTGGTTATATTATGAAGGTGTGTTGGGAAATATTCAGAATGAATCCCTATAGTTGTTATTTATCTGCACTGAGGTTGTACCTCGGAGACCCAGTCATTGTAATAGGTAATAGGAATCTGTTGTTCTGGATCCCAAAAAAGCACAGAATAAAAGGTACCTTTGGCCCCAAAGGATTTACACTATCTTTTTCAAATTCTCCAATTCAGGGGATTTCTAAATTCCTTTTCAGTATAGTAGCCTTCTTGATACTGAGTGACCCCTCTGCATTTTTTTCCTTTCAGCAGAGTAGCTCAGGGCAAGAAGATTTTCAAAAAGCTACTAAAATGTTTTAATAACCCTGAGGAGGTATAAAGTATTGTTAATATAAGTATTGTATTAATATAACAATACTTTATAGCTCCACAACACTTTTTTTCATTGTTAAAGTACTTTATGAACCATAACTATTTAATTCCCATAATACCTCTGTGAAGGGATGGTAAGTAAAATAAATAAAACTGTCTCCATTTTCCAAGTGAGTTAAATGAATTCTGTAGGTGCAAGGAGAGTCAGTGTCAGAGCTAGGATTAGAATTCAGGAATTCCCGGCTTTCCTGGCCTGTGCTGACGCTGTTGAGCCAAGCATCTCGTATATAATGTCCATTTAACACTCGCTCTTTAATCTGGCATCAGTTGAGCTGTGCCAGTTCGCTAGCTGGAATGAAGAATAAATGAAGAAGTGGTGAGGCATTTAACATGTACTTCTGTTTACAGTGTTGATGAAAGAACCTCCTATCTGGCACTGGGAGCAGTCAAGAACATTTCACTGAATATTTCCATCTCTAACATTGGGGACGATGCCTATGATACCAATGTGTTCTTCAACTTTTCCAGGGAGCTCTTCTTTATCAAAATGTGGCAAAAGGTAAGAAATGCTAATCTCCCTGAGATCAGACTTTTAGTATTATTGCCAATATATTACAAATATATTGAGAGCAAACTGAGACTTGGTATAAACAGTCATAACTCAAATGAACACCACAGAATTATGCCCCTTTGTTTCAGGCCTGACCTTGTCCGAGGGTCTTTACATAAGCCATCTCTTTTGTGGATTTAATTTGTGTAGACGATGCACATCACATTTGTATAAATGACACAGGACTGCTGTTTTGTTGATGTTCAAATGGTTATGGGAGATATGCTAGCAGGGAGATATGCTAGAACATGGATATGGCAAAAATAGAGGGTGATATCTTGTCCCCATTGAAACCAGTTGAGTTGTAAAATTGACAACAAATTTTGTTAGAAGAAATCTCATAACCTTTTTAGGGCCTGTCCCACTGCCATCAACATCAATCAGATGTTTCCCAGGAAGAAAAGCAGGCCTTTGTGCTTTGAATGGTTTTATATTTTTGTTCTGCCATTTGTGCGTGGATTAATTGGAACATCAGTTTGCCTCCTTGGTTCTTATTAGACAATCCTGCCTGGAAACAAATTAAAAATGATATGATTCTTCTACTACTCTTCTGGCTCCAATGTACAATGGAGAGAGCTGGGATGATAAACTGCTAGAAAGAATAATTTCTAGAAGTAGATGACATTGCTGCGTGTCGTATCTCACTCCTTAGTGAATTTTCTAGTAAATCAAGCCAGCATGTGATAAGCAAGTCTGGAACATGGATCTAATCAATGTATAATCTTGGATTTTCAAAATCCTTTAGCTATACCAGTGGTAGTATACTCTGCTTTCATTCCTTATGCTTCTCCAATTCTACCTCTCTCTTTTTTTTTTTTTGGTAATAAAGGACTTTGCAAATGTTGAGCTGTTATACTCTACAGCATGCATGCACGACCCACAACCCATGGGCCAGATCCAGCCAACAGAGCCATGTCATCTGGCCTGCAAGACTTCCTCTGGGTCCAGAGATTTGTTGGCATGGGGAGTGGTGGCTGCTTTCCTGCTGCTAAATTTCTGAACTCCTGGGGGGAGACCTGTGGGCCAGATAGGGCACGCAGGGCCGGGGTGGCAGTGCAGGGCCTGATCCCAGTGTGTAGGGCCTGATGCAGGTGTGCAGAGGCAGGTGGAGGCAGCATGGGGCCTGATCTGGACTTCTGGGGCTGAGGAAGGCAGCACAGGACCCATGCAGTGCTGTGCCTGGTTCTAGCTCATAGAGCCTGACCCAACCTGTGAACTGGCCTTGTGCCACTCATCTGACCACAGGGCCAAAAGTTTGAGTCCACCAGTCTACATCAATTTCTGTCATAAAGCTCTCCCATCAACATAAACTACTTTACTGTTGGCTTCCTAGTTTATCCAGTTGGAATTATAGCCTTGCAGATGCTGCCTCAGTACAGGTATTGCCTACTCCTTAAGATCTGTGGACAGGATATGTCTGAAATTATTAACTGCAGCTTCCATAGGTCATTCCCATTCACACACACGCACATGCACACACACATACACACACACACACACACTTACCTGTGTGTGTGTGTGTGTGTATGGATATTGTTTGTAGTTGATCCTTGCCCAGGCAAAAACCCAAACATAAAATCCTGAATAGAAGCAATGACTTGCAAGAATTTCTGAGTGAAAGAGTCTGTTGCTGCAGAGAAGCTTGTAGCAACAACTGTCTTTTAATGAATATCACCCAAGTGGAAGGGGACTCCTTTTTCCATGTACATACTTGATACTCTTTCTAAGTAGAGGTGAACCTTAGAATAAAAGACCACCAGGTTAGACTGATTGGCTTTTATAATCTGCCTCTGATATTCCTCTTGATGTACTGTAACCGAGTCTCCTGTTTGTTTTCCAAATGTCTCCAGAGTAATTTCCTATAGGTTAAATGCAATGAGTTTTCACATGGTGGTTATACTTGCTTGTAAGTGGGTGGATAATAGACTCTTTTTAGAAAGCCAGTCTTCTTCGACATATAACATAGTCATATAAGGGACGTTGAGATGCAGAGCCAAATACGATGATTTAAAAGAGAACAACTGCTCAACTCAGTGGCTGGAAACTCAGTGTGTTACTGTTGTTGGCCTTCTTTAATTTGTGGATTTTGATTTTTCATGAGCTATCACAGTGCCATTACTTGGCAGAGCTGTTGCTGCTGCTCCTTCACAGGGGCAAATAAGGGTACATTGACCGATATTTAAAAGGCTTCATTTATTCCCATTTCTGATTTTTCCTTTTGCTCTGCAGCCAGTGCTCATTGCTATGGAAAGAAGCCCAACATTTTCTTTCCATAGCTCCTTACAGTGAGTTCTTCAACTGGGAGAGAGAGGCTGCAGTTACACTGAAAAACACACACACACACACACACACGTGCGCGCACGCGCATGTACCTCCCCCGTAGATACTCAAATATTCAAAAAGTCTAAATCTATATTTTCAAAATGCCAATGACTTGAAGGTTATGGGTGAACTAATAATTTTTATTAATGATAGGAGTTAATAGAAAGTTTCATTAACATTGAATTTGGTAGATTTAGAAAATGAATATAGATACATGCATATAAATATATACAGCTAGTAGCACTGCTTATCATGATAAACTTTGGCTAGTTGCTTCTAACTTTGCCAGAGTTTAATTGTTCCCAGTCAACTGTCTGTCTCAGGCTGAATACTTTAGAAAAATTTCATCCGAAGTGGTTAAGCTATTTCCAGGTCTGAGACTAAATTTGGGTAGCTTTTCATGGGAATAACAGATTTGCCCATGACTTAAAGTCCACAGGTTTGGCAAATTTTAATTTTATGTTCCAAAGAATGGTGTTGCAAGAGCATTTCAAAGCAAACTTAACCAGACCTTTTCTAGCATGGACTAAAAAATTATTTTTTCCTAACTCCAGGCCTGAGCAAGTACTATTCTGAGTCTTTCTCTAGTGTTTTTTTCTCCTTAAGTTGTTTTAAGAGCCTATTACCTACATATACTTCTATATATAAGATTATCAAATATGCCCCCATGTGTAAAGATGATGATTATTATTGTCATCATTTTACAGTTGAAAGAACTGAAGCCCAAACTGGTTTAACTACTTGCTCAGAGCTAGTCAAATGAGTAAGAGGCATTGGCAGGAATATAACTTGAGAGTCTTAACTGTTTGAAACAATTTTACAGGTATAGTAAGGCATAAGATAACATGTTTTCTCACTTGTCAATAAAACCTATAATTCAGAATGTATCCACTGAGGAGACAAGTCAGTGTGTAATGCAAAAGGATTTTAAATGAAAAATGCAAAAGAATAAATCTGACCTGTTCATTAGGAGCAAGACTTTTTACTATTCTAAGAACATTTTACCCTCTTTGTGTTACAATTTTGAAAGCACCTCCCATTTCTGTAAAGCTAAAAGTAGAGATGTAACAACTACAGATTTTTGTAATCCAATAATCTGAATTATATTTCAGATTAAACATTGTAAGGGTTTGAAAAATTCACTTAATGGTGATCAGACAGATCCCCTGGTGTGTGCATGTGTTGCTGGCAAGCACAAGGAGGGGTGGGGTGGTAAGCCGTCAGTTCCTGAATAATGTAACTTTTATATGAATTGATGTTGTGATTTCTGAGTGTCTGCAGGAGGACAATGACTTATTGCTGGCAGTGGTTGTTAGTAGTAAGTACTTTCCTACTTACTCATCAACTGGTGTAGGTGGGGTGAAAGCATTTTCAGCTGTGACAGACAGAGTGAGACAGGCCTGGTGGAATGTGCCTGTGGTATTTTCTCTAATAGTCCTGGAAATAGCCCCTCAAATAAAACTCTGCTCTTACGCAGCACTTTTCATTCAGAGTTCAAAGTGTTTTACCATGGAAAATTGGATTCCAGGAGCTAGTCCATTTTCAGCACTACCTAGGGGAGAATAGGTTGGGGAAGCCCATAACTGACGGTCATTTCCAGCCAGGGGTGATTTCTTTATTTTTAGTCAGACTGCTAGATGCTGCAGTCAGTCAGCTTGAAGGCTTCTGTGTTTCTCTAGCTTCTCTCAAGCAACAGATGAGTGAAATTACCAAGACTCAGGCTTAGAGCAGAGTGAACAATATTTGAGAAGTTCAGCCTGTTTCTGATGAGATCGTTTCCTTTGATTTAGTCATTATTCATATTTATTTAGTAACCTTGTTCCTAAGACTTTTATACTAATACATTCAATTAGTGTTGCTAAGTTCTGTTTAATCAGATAAGTTACATGGCTCCCCACATCCAAGTTTGGTTTGTAGCTTTAGTTTCGTGGCTAGTACTAGCTGTTGTCCAGTCAATTTTTCGTATCATATTCTAATTAGAATTTAGCCAGGGTTTGGAAAAGAAACCTTACAGTCAGTTATCTTATTCAGTTAATATAATGCAAAATCCCAAGAGTCCTTAAGAGTCAAAATTCCCATTGAAATCAGTAGTTTAAGCCCAGATTTTTAAAATGATTGAGGTGTTGCTATGCTCAAAATTGCAAAATCTAAGACAGCCAAGACTCATTTTACCTTAGACTTTTAGATGGTGATTAGTCATTTAGGGGGTGACCTGAAGAAGGGCTTTTAGGCTAGGGACAGAAATTACATGTAAACTGGTATACGTAATCAGAAACTGGTTCAAATCTGTAACACAACAGAAGTTCAGAGCACATAAACTGTTTTCAAAATGGCCTAAGCCAGTTTAAGATAAACCTGGATAGATGTAGTATCAGACTTAACTGATTTAGGTTAAATCAATGTATTGAACTTCTGTCCCAGGTCCCCTCCAGATTCAATTTAATTCGCAGTCCCCCAGCCTGCCAGGAGGCTTTGTATCTCCTCCACAAACCACCCTCTTGCAGGGTGGGTGGGCTACCCTTCACCCAAGCTGTCTGTTCCAGCCAAGCTGGAAAGTGTGCTGTAGTGCCCCTCTGGCTTCTGGCCTGGACCACTGCAGGCATGTAGCTGCATTTCCGGAATCAAAA